ATACTTCCTGTTGGTGGTTGACGACTACTCGCGTTACACCACAGTCCTCCCCTTGCGCAGCAAGGGTGCGGTCACTGAGGTGCTGATCGACTGGATCCGCGAGGCTCGTCTCCAGCTCAGGAAGAGCTTCGGCTCGGACTTTCCTGTTCTGCGTCTGCACTCTGACAGAGGCGGAGAGTTCTCTTCTCACCTTCTGCGAGACTACTGTCGTGCACGGGGGATCCGCCAGACCTTCACGCTTCCGGACTCACCACAGCAAAATGGGATTGCTGAGCGCCGCATTGGCATGGTCATGGATGTCGCTCGTACGTCCATGATGCATGCGGCTGCCCCCCATTTTCTGTGGCCGTTTGCGGTGAGGTACGCGGCGCATCAGCTCAACCTTCACCCCCGGGTCTCTCGGCCTGCGATGTCCCCAGTCTTGCTGTGGACAGGGAAGGTTGGCGATGCGTCTGTGTTCCGTGTCTGGGGATCTCGGGCGTTTGTCCGCGACTTGTCTGCGGACAAGCTGTCCCCTCGTGCTGCTCCCTGTGTCTTTCTTGGCTTCCCCACTGACGCCCCAGGGTGGCAGTTTTACCACCCCTCCTCTCGTCGTGTTCTGTCCTCCCAGGACGTCACGTTCGACGAGTCAGTCCCCTTCTACCGTCTCTTCCCCTACCGCACTCCTTCCCTCCCCCCTCCCCCGGACTTCCTTGTGCCGGTTCCCCCCCCGGTAGACCCCCTCCCCCCTCAGGTTCCTGCCCCCTCAGGTGTGTCCCAGGTAGACGCCGCTGACCCGGTCGAGGTTACTGGTGACTCTGGTCCTGCTGCGGGTGCTGAGCCTGGGGGTGCTGACTCTGGGGGTACTGTGCGCGGGGGTGCTGTGCCTGGGGGTGCTACTGCTGGGGGTGCTGGGCCTGAGGGTGCTACTGCGGTGGGTGCGGAGCCTGGGGGTGCTGAGCCGGGGGGTGCTGTGCCTGGAGGTGCTGGGTCTGGGGGTGCTGGGTCGGGAGCTGCTGAGCCTGGGGGTGCTGAGCTGGGAGCTACTGAGCCTGGGGGTGCTGCGTCTGGAGCTGCTGAGCCTGGGGTTTCTCCTGCTGCTGCGTCTCGCCGGGAGCCCCTCTCTCCACAGGAGCTGCGCGAGTGGTTCGCTCGCCGCTGGAGGCGTGCTGCTGAGTCTGGAGGTGCTGCTGGAGCTGGAGCTGGAGCTTCTTCGATCGTCGAGGGTGCGGGTGCTGCCGGTCCCGGAGCTGCTGGACCTGCGGGTCCTCCTGGAGCTGGAGCTGCTGAGGGCGTTCGTGCTGAGCCTGCTGCTGTTGGTCCTGCCGCTGGAGGTGTGGGTGGCGCTGGTGCTGTCGCTGAGGGTGCTGGTGCTGTCCCTGCTGAGACTGGAGCTGCCGCGCGGCCTCGGCCGTACTTCGTTCCGCTCCTTCAGCAGGTTCTTGGTCTTTCTCCTCCAGTAGAGGGTCCACCGCCTGTCCAGCCGCAGTCCCTACTGGAGCCTTCCTCTCCACTGCCTGCTCCCTCTCCTTACACTGGTCCTACTGGAGGTCTTGCTGAGCGTCGTGAGCCTGCGTCTCGCCCCGCGTCGCCTGTTCGTGCTGCTCGCGCTAGTGGTCGCAGTTCGCGTCAGCGTCCTCCTCCTGTCCCTGGCACGCACCGGATGTCTCTGCGTCCGTCCACTGCTCCTCTGCGTGCCCCTTTGCCTTCTCCTCCTGAGTCCTCTCTTCCTGCGCTTGCCGACCCTGAGTCGGACTCTCTTCGCGCTGCGAGTCCTACTGTCACGCGTCTGCTTGCTACTGTCGTCACTGACCCCTCTCTTGAGTCCACTGCTGCGTCTGCTCTAGTCGCTGAGCTCGTCGACTTTGCTGCTCGCTGTCGTCTCGACTACGCTGCTAGTCTTGTTGCTGAGTCTGCGTCTGTCTGTCCTCCGTCCGTCGGGGGTGAGTGTGCTCTTGGCACGGACGTCCTAGAGGACAGGCAGGAGGAGTTACAGTGTCTAGCGGCTGCTTCACCTCATCTCGCGTCTGTACTGCTTGCCCCTGAGGGAGACCCGGATGCACTAGACATCCCGACTCCGCGTTCTTACGCGGAGGCCGTAGAGGGCCCCTACTCCTCTCAGTGGCAGGCAGCCATGGATGCAGAGATGGCTTCCTGGAAGTCCACAGGCACCTACGTTGACGCGGTTCCCCCTCCTGGGGCGAACATCGTCAGTGGCATGTGGATCTTCAGGGTGAAGCGGCCGCCGGGCTCTCCACCTGTCTTCAAGGCACGGTACGTTGCTCGTGGCTTCAGTCAGCGGCAGGGAGTTGACTACTTTCAGACCTTCTCTCCCACCCCGAAGATGACTACTCTTCGGGTGCTGCTGCACATAGCCGCTCAGCGCGACTACGAGCTTCACTCTCTCGACTTCAGCACTGCGTTCTTGCAGGGTAGCCTGCACGAGGAGATCTGGCTTCGCCGTCCACCTGGCTTCACTGGGACTTTCCCTCCTGGCACCCAGTGGAGCCTCAGACGGCCAGTCTACGGTCTCCGCCAGGCACCGCGTGAGTGGCACGACACACTGAGGACTACGCTTGCGGCTCTTGGGTTTGCTCCTTCTACTGCTGACCCGTCGCTGTTTCTTCGCACCGACACTTCCCTGCCGCCGTTCTACATCCTCGTGTACGTCGACGACTTGGTCTTTGCCACAGCGGACACTGCTGGACTCGCCTACGTGAAGTCCGAGCTGCTGAAGAGACACACGTGCACAGACCTGGGTGAACTGCGCAGCTACCTTGGCTTGCAGATCACTCGGGACAGAGCACGCCGCACCATTACCTTGACTCAGTCACACATGGTGCAGCAGGTCCTTCAGCGCTTCGGCTTCACGTACTCCTCGCCTCAGGCCACTCCTCTGCCTACTCGCCACTCACTCTCAGCTCTGCCTTCGGATGAGTCCGTAGAGTCGAGTGGTCCGTATGCAGAGCTTGTTGGCTGCCTCATGTACCTGATGACCTGCACACGACCTGACCTTGCATACCCTCTGAGCATTCTTGCGCGCTATGTTGCTCCTGGGAGACACAGACCGGAGCACATGGCTGCAGCGAAGAGGGTATTGCGCTACCTGTGCAGTACGTCAGGCATGGGGCTAGTGCTTGGAGGGCGGAGTCCAGTGGTCCTTACCGGCCACGCGGACGCTTCTTGGGCTGACGACCAGGCTACGCAGCGGTCGTCACAGGGTTACACCTTCAGCCTTGGTTCCGGCTCTGTCTCGTGGCGGTCTACTCGCTCGTCTTCGGTTCTCGGCTCCAGTTGTGAGGCTGAGATCTACGCCGGGGCCATGGCTGCACAGGAGCTTCGCTGGCTCACCTACCTGCTGACTGACCTTGGAGAGCCGCCTCGTTCTCCTCCAGTGCTGTACGTAGACAACAAGGCTATGCTGGCCTTGTGTCGAGAGCAGCGCTTGGAGCACAGAACGAAGCACATTGCTCTCCGCTACTTCCTTGCTCGTGAGTTGCAGCAGCGTGGTCAGTTGCGACTTGCGTACGTGGCCTCTGAGGCCAACACTGCTGATGTGTTCACCAAGGCACTTGCGCCTTGTGACCATCAGCGCTTCTGCACCCAGCTGGGTCTTGTGCCTGTCTTGCCTCACTTGCTCTCCTCTTGACTTTACTTGTACTGTGACATATATATATACCTGCTCTTGCTTGTCTAGTTTTATATATATATATGACCGTACTCTTGCTTGTGAACTGGCCTTTGGCCTTGCTCTTGTGCTCGGACTGTGTGGTGACTTTGTGATCCACCCTGAGCTTTGCTTTGTCTTGCTTGACTGGTCTTGTGACCCCTTGTTCTCCCCCACTTTGCCTATGGGGGTGTGTCAGAACATATCTATAGCTTATACTGCTGTGTAGGCTGTAGTGGGGTATCCCATAGGGGGTACAACCCAGTTAGGGTTTCATATTTGTACTGCTTTCATTCATAGTCCATTCATTCCTGCTTACTCATTTACACAACCACTGCTCCTCTGCAGACTCTCCACATGGACGTGTGGGGCCTAGCCCGCGTCCGTGGACAGGACCAGGAGCGCTACTTTCTGCTGGTTGTTGACGACTACACGCGCTACACGACAGTCTTCCCCTTGCAGAGCAAGGCGGATGCCCGCGGTGTTTTGATCGCCCGGATCCTCGCTGTTCGTTGCCACTTGAGCGCGCGATTTCAGCAGGACCTCCGGGTCCTGCGACTACACTCTGACAGAGGCGGTGAGTTTTCCTCCCACCTCCGTGAGGACTTTTGTCGTGCGGAGGGCATCGTCCAGTCGTTTACGCTTTCGACCTCTCCACAGTAGAATGGGATTGCCGAGCGTCGCATTGGCTTGGTGATGGAGGTTGCTCGCACCTCCATGATCCATGCGCAGTTTTAGCAGGACCTCTGGCCTCGTGTCTCTACACTGCATCGGCGGGGGAGTTTGGCGATGCGTCGGCGTTTCGGGTATGGGGCGCGCTCTCCCTTGTCCGCGATACCACTGCGGGCAAGCTCTCTTCTCGCACCCTCCACTGCGTCTTCCTTTGGCTTTTCCACCGACGCCCCGCCCTGGGAGTTTTACCACCCCGCATTGCGCCGTGTCCTGCCCTCACATGACGTCACGTTTGACAAGCCGGTCTGCTTCTACCGTCTCCACCCACATGTGTCTTTCCCACTCTACTCACTGCCCCTCTTCATGGTCCCAGGTCCCCCCCCCGGTAGACCCCCTCCCCCCCACAGGGTCTTTCTCCCTCGGGTGTGTCTCAGGTCAATCCACCCCCCTTGGTTGAGCCTTTGGAGGTCTCCTCTGACACCTCTGGCCGAGTTGAGGGGTGACCCCGCTGCTGACGACACGGCGACTACTCGCCGCCCCCCGCGCTTGGAGACCGCTCCCGGTTTTCCGCCTCGGCCGTCTTCGCCGCCTCCGCTGCCTGTCGCTGTGGACTCTGGTGTTGTTGGGGGTGGTGACACTGGAGCTGCAGACTCTGGAGGTGCTGGTCATGAGGTTGCTGACTCTAGGGGTGCTGACTCTGGGGGTGCTGGTTCTGGGGGTCCTGAGACACAGCATACATGGCAGAAAGAATAGCATCAAAATCAAGATCATAGATGGCAACACCCGCCCTAGACAGCTCGCCCCAGCGAGGGATCTCTGTGGCCTCCGGGAACTGGTGACGCCACGCGTCCGTCAGGCGGCCAAAGCAGCGCTGGGTGGGGTGCGCATCCCCACACTGCTCACCCGCACGGTCGCCGGTGCGCAGGACGTAGGTGCACGGACAAAAACCCCCACCCCGCTGGCGTGCAGTGTACCACTCACAGAGCTGCTGAGGGGACAGGGTCTCACGACCGCGCTGCTGCTGCTGGCGCGGACCACCACCGGAGCCACTCCTCTGCGTAGACCCGCGACCAGCTCCACCGCCACCCCCGCCGCCTCCGCCGCCTCCGCCGCCTCCGCTTCTACCGCCGCCTTCGCCGCCTCCTCCTCCGCCGCCACCTCCGCCACCTCCGCTCCCACCGCCACCGCCGCCGTCGCCTCCGCCTCTACTGCCGCCACCGACACCTCCACCCCCACCACCACTCCCACCGCCACCCCCACTCCCCCCGCCGCCTCCACCTCCACCTCCACCGCCCCCGCTCGCCCCTCCAGTGCCCCTGCCCCCCTTGCCCTTGCCAGAGCGGCGTCTCCCGCTAGGGGCAGACGCCGCACCGACCGACTCAAGACCAAGGAGGTCGGCCGCAGCAGCAGAGGCAACAGAGGGCAGAAGGGGGGAGGGGGAACACCCCTCAAAGATGGGGGTGCGCGGGTCACCACGAGAGGCCCCTACAGCGACTATGCTCTTCTCAGCCACTAGGAGGGACTTCTCGAGGAGGTCAACAGTGAGAGTGGTGGGACAGACTGAGAGGAAGTGGTCCCTGACTACGCGAAGGGAGTCAGGGAGGCGAGTGACTATGTAGTAGAGAGTGATGTACATGGGGGGGGGGGGGGTTCTTGGCGCAGAAGTCAGCAGGAAGCGCAGCGCAGTAGCGAGTGTCACTAGTGCGGAGGTGCGTAATGAGGTCAGCGACTGTGGGAAAGGCAGCAAGGTCAGGGAAGAGGTACGGTAGCATGAGATGGCTCAGTGCAGCAGTGGCACGGGAGGAGTAGCGTGCAACTACAGCGTCGTACAAGGTCTGAGCACTCTTGTACTGACTAAAGTGCGCACGCTCGGAGGTAGGGAGGTGGCGACGCACAGCAAGACGTGCAGCAGCGTCGCGCGTGGCCCACTGGGAGCAAACAGTGGCGTCGGCATTAGCAGCAGGGGCAGGAGAAGCGCCAGAGGTGAGGTCAAAGAGTGAGAGACCATCTGCCCTATCACACTGTAAAAACAGCTGCAGGTCATCTACCCAGACGTCAAAGTCAATGGCTCGACCCTCAGCGTCAAAAGCGAGGACACTAGGGGTAGCCATGACCATAGTAGACTAGCAGTGCAACAGTAGAGTGAGGGCAGTGCAAGAAAAGAGGCACTGTGCTCACCGAACGGGGCTGCTCGGGCGGCTCGGAGGTAGGGCGGCTCGGCGGCTCGGCTGCACGGCGGCTCGGCTGCTGGGCGGCTCGGCTGCAGGGCGGCTCGGCTGCAGGGCGGCTCGGCTGCTGGGCGGCTCGGCTGCAGGGCGGCTCGGCTGCTCGGTTGCTGGGCGGCTCGGCTGCTCGGCTGCTCAGCTGCTGGGCGGCTCGGCCGTGCTGCTGCAGGGCGGCGCGGCGGTCGGCTGTTCGGCGAGGTGAGGCGGCCCGGCGGCTCAGGTGGCGGGCGGCGCTGCAGCAGGTGACGGGGCCGCAGGGAAGGCGGCTGGGCCGCAGGTAAGGGCGGCGAGGCCGCAGTTGAGGGCAGCGGGGACCGCAGGTGAGGGCAGCGAGGCCGCAGGTAAGGGCGGCGAGGCCGCAGTTGAGGGCGGCGGGGACCGCAGGTGAGGGCGGTGAGGCCGCAGGTAAGGGCGGCGAGGCCGTAGTTGAGGGCGGCGGGGGGGGCCGCAGGTAAGGGCGGCGGGGACCGCAGGTGAGGGCGACGGGGCCGCAGGTAAGGGTGGCGAGGCCGCAAGGGCGGCGCGCGGGGTCGACGGGTGGCGCAAGGAGGGGGCGCTAGGGCGGCGCGTGGGGTCGACGGGCAGCGAAAGGGGCCACAAAGGGTGGCGCGACGGTAGGGAGGGCACACGGGGCACGCGCGACTCGGTCTATTCTAAGGCGCGCTCCGGGCAGGAAAAAAAAATCGTGGTGGGCCCTAGGTAGCGTTCCCACTAGGGAACCTGCTCTGAAACCATGAGAAGAAACGAGAATGAATGAACTATGATTGAACTGAGTACAAGTATTAACCCTAATTGGGTTGTACCCCTTATGGGCTACCCCACTATAGCCTACACAATAAGCACAAGCTATATGTTCTGACAGGTCCCGGTTCTGGGGGTGCTGCGAAGCCTAGTGGTGGTGGAGTCGTGGGTGCTCTTGCTGGAGATGCTAGAGCTGGAGGTGCTGGAGGTACTAGAGCTGCTGGTTCTGGAGCTACTGGTGCTGGAGGTACTCGAGGTACTGAAGCTACTTGTGCTGGAGGTACTGGAGCTGCTGGTGCTGGAGGCGCTAGAGCTGGAGGTACTAGAGCTGCTGGTGCTGGAGGTGCTAGAGCTGGAGGTACTAGAGGTACTTGAGCTGCTGGTGCTGGAGGTGCTAGAGCTGGAGGTACTGGAGCTATTGGTGCTGGAGTTGCTACAGCTAGAGGTACTAGAGGTACTGGAGCTGCTGGTGCTGGAGGTGCTAGAGCAAGAGGTGCTGGAGGTACTGTAGTTGCTGGTGCTGGAGGTGCTGGTGCTGGAGGTACTGGAGCTGCTGGTGCTGGAGGTACTGGAGCAGCTGGTACTGGAGGTACTATATCTGGTGGTGCTGGAGATACTGGAGATATCTGGTGGTACTGCAGGTGCTGGAGCTGGAGGTACTGGAGGTGCTGGAGCTGGTGGTACTGGAGGTGTTGGAGCTGCTGGCGGTACGGGTACTACGCCACGCCAACTGTTTTTCTACCCGCAGCCGCAGTCATCCCTGCCACCGCATGAATCGGCTCTTTGTCATGTTCTTAGTCTTCCGTCTTCCTCTTGCCCTACTCCGCCTCTCCTGTGTCCTCCGCCTGACAAGTCACAGCCATCGTTACTGCCTAGCTCCCCAGTGGCTGCTCCTTCTCCTTACTTTGCGCAAACAGGCTCCCAGGCAGAGCGTCGTGAGCCTAAGTCTTGTCCTACCTCCCTAGTTTGCACTATCAATCGTGCTCTTTGTCCTGGACCTCCACCTGTCCCTGACACGCATACGTTGGCACTTCGTCCTTCCTCTGTTCCATAGCGTGTTGCCCTGTCATCTCCTTTGGCGTCCTCACTTCATGACATTCCTGACCTTGAGTTCGACCGTGCTCGTGCTGCTAGTCCTATTATCACTCGTCTCCTTGCCACTGTCGTCACTGACCCTTCCTTTGAGTCTACTGCTACGTCTGCCCTAGTCACTGAGCTAGTCGACTTTGCTGCTACCCGTCGTCTCGACTACGTTGCGAGTCTTGTCACTGAGTCTAATTTGTCTGTCCTCCATGAGTCGGGGGTGAGTTTGTGCTTGAGTGTCTCGAGGCCGTTTTACCCCGTTTCGGGTCCATGCTGCTTTGCCCTGAGGGAGACCCGGATGCACTAGACATCCCCACCCCGCGCTCCTATGCACAAGCAATCACGGGTAAGTGCTCCTCTCAGTGGCAGATAGCCATGGATGCAGAGATGGCTTCCTGGAAATCTACAGGCACCTACATTGACGAGGTTCACCCTCCTAGGGCGAACATAGTCGATGGCATGTGGATTTTCAGGGTGAAGCGGCCGCAGGCTTCTCCTCCTGCCTTCAAGGCACGTTACGTTGCTCGAGGTTTCAGTCAGCGACTGGGGGTCGACTTCATCCATACCTTCTCCCACAACCCAAAGATGACCACTCTTCGGGTGTTACTGCACGTTGCAGCACAGCGTGACTACGAGTTGCACTCCCTCGACGTCTCCACAACTTTCTTGCAGGGCAGCCTTCATGAGGAGATCTGGCTGCGCTGACCACCTAGCTTCACTGAGTTCTTTCCTGAGGGTACCCAGTGGAGGCTTCGGCGGCCAGTCTACGATCTCCACCAGGCACCCCGCGAGTGGCACGACACAGGGAGGACGACGCTTGAGCTCTTGGGTTTTCTCCTTCCACCGCTGGCCTGTCGATGCTTCTGCGCACCGGCCCTACTCTGCCACCGTTCTACATTATCGTGTACGCTGACAACTTGGTCTTTGCTACTTCCAACACTGAGGCGTTGACCCCTGAGAAGGCAGATCTGCAGTAGAGACACACTTGCACTGGTCTGTGTGAGCTGCGTAGCTCTTTTGGCTTGCGGATCACCCGGGAAAGAGCACGGCACACCATCACTTTGACTTAGTCACACATGGTGCAGCAGGTCCTTCAGCGCGGCTTTCAGTTCTCCTTGCCACAGCACACTCCTCTGCCAACACGCCACTCGCTCTCAGCTCCACCTTGGGACCAGTCCGTAGAGCCGAGTGGCCCGTATCCAGAGCTTGTGGGCCGCCTCATGTACCTGATGATGTGCAGACGACCTGACCTCGCGTACCCTCTCAGCATCCTTGCTCGTTTCGTTGCACCCGGGCGACATATGGAGTAGCACTGGACAGTTGGGCGAAGGGTTCTGCGTTACTTGTACATTACATCGGGCATGGGGCTCGTGCTTGGAGGACGGGTTCAGTGGTACTCACGGGACACTCCGACGCTTCTTGGGCTGACGACTAGGCGACTCAGCGGTTGTCACAGGGTTACTCTTTCATTCTCGGCTCTGGTTTTGTCTCGTTGAGGTCCACTCGTTCGTCTTCTATGCTTGGTTCCGGCTGTGAGGCCAAGATCTACGCTGGGGCCATGGCCATGACACCACACAATCTGAGCACAAGCAAGCGGCCACAAGGCCAGTTCACATGCAGAGTTATAATAGCAAGGCAGTACACTGATTACAAACTAGCAAGAGTAAACAAGCAGGTATAAAGATTTATATCAGTGTACAACAAGAGCAAGTCAAGCAACCAGCAGGTGAGGCAAAGTGGGCAGAAGCCCAAGAGCAGTGCAGAAGCGCTGATGATCACCAGACCCAAGGGCCTTGGTGAAGACATTAGCAATGTTGGCCCGAGAGGCCACGTAAGCAAGGCGCAGCTGACCACGCTGATGTAGCTCCCGCGCAAGAAAGTGACGAAGAGCAATGTGCTTCGTTCTGTGCTCCTCTCTCTGCTCACGACACAAGGCAATTGTCGACGTACAGAACTGGAGGAGAACGAGGCCGCTCCCCCAAGTTAGTCAGTAGTTAGGTCAGCCAGCGTAGGTCCTGTGCAGCCATGGCCCCAGCGTAGATCTCAGGCTCACAGCTGGAACCAAGCACAGAAGAAGAATGAGTGGACTTCCACAAGACAGAACCAGAGCCAAGACTGAAGGTGTAACCCTGTGATGAACGCTCAGTCACCTGGTCGTCGGCCCAAGAAGTGTTGGAGTGTCCTGTGAGTACCACTGAACCCCATCCTCCAAGCACGAGCCCCATGCCCGATGTATTGCACAAGTAACACGGTACCCTCTTCGCACCATCCCAGTGCACCTTTCGGTGTCTACCGGGAGCCACGTAGCGAGCTAGGAGGCTAAGAGGGTACGCGAGGTCAGGTCGTTTGCACGTCATCAGGTACATGAGGCAACCCACAAGCTCTGGGTATGGACCACTCGGCTCTACGGACTCGTCCGAACGTGGAGCTGCTAGCGAGTGACCGGTAGATAGAAGAGTGGGCTGTGGCGAGGAGTACTGGAAGCCAAAGCGCTGGAGAACCTGGTGTACCATTTGTGACTGAGTCATGGTCATGGTGCGCCATGCTCTGTCCCGGGTGATCTGCAAGCCAAGATAGCTCCGCAGTTCACCCAGGTCAGTGCATGTGTGTCTCTCCTATAGCTCCGCCTTCACTAGGGCCAGCGCCTCCGTGTCAGTAGTAGACGTACACGAGAGCGTAGAACGCCGGTAGGGTAGTGTCAATGTGCAGAAATAGCGACGGGTCAGCAGTCGAAGGAGCAAACCCAAGAGCCACAAGTGTTGTCCTTAGTGTGTCGTGCCACTCGCAAGGTGCCTGACGGAGGCCGTACACTGGTCGCCGTAGGCTCCACTAGGTACCCTCAGGAGACGACCCAGTGAAGCCAAGTGGACGGCGCAACCAGATGGCCTCATGAAGGCTGCCCTGCAAGAAATTTGTGGAGAAGTCGAGGGAGTGCAGCTCGTAGTCACGCTGAGCTGCAACGTGTACCAACACCCAATGAGTTGTCTTCTTTGGGGTGGGAGAGAAGGTCTAAAAGAAGTCGAACCCCTCACGTTGACTGAAGCCTCGAGCAACGTAACGTGCCTTGA